CCAACCAAAGTGATTCTATGATTCTAATTTTATGGATAGAACATATTAAATACTATTTTTAGTGCTCTGGGAAGTTCAAAATAGTAAGGAATTAAACCATAATACGGTAGACATGTACAAGAAAAGCCCTCCTGTATAATAGCTTATCCAGTATTGTTTGCTTAAAATATTTTTTTTAAACTTAAAATCAGAAATTAGACATATCAGACAATCTGTTCTGCTTTCTGCTACTTCATTACTGCAGTGTCTCCCAGACATGTCTGACTTTGTTGCATCTGTTGATAAAGTAAGGTCATTTTGATAAAGATCTGTGAATTAGTCTTAAACATATTCTAAATGAATGTCTTTGTGTCTTAGAGAGAGAGAGAGTGTACAATATTTATTACAGGTCAGTTTGTCTTAAAGTTATTTCTAATAATAACAGTATTGTGACTTGCTTGTAGTTGTCCATGTCTAGTATGAATTACTTCTGTCATTCTGCTCGCAAGAACATTATTTACTGAGTGGCAGGTATAGAGTAACATTGACTTTTAAGACCAATTGCTTTTCTACTGGAGGAGAAAATTCAGTCTGGGATAAAACTGTTGCATTAATGTACAGCTTGTAATTAATTTTGCTGTAGTTGGGTAAAACTTCATGTGGTTGAGCTCTGCAAAATCTTACTCAATTTAATGATCTAAGGGGTGGTTTTGGTGAATAAGTCTTCGAAGAGGGTAGGAAATGTGCAGTAAGAGTACCTTAGGAGGCTTTCAAAGCGGTTTCAGATCTATTTTGAATTTTTTAAAGTAAAGCTGAATTTGTACAAGAGTTAAGATGATCACTAAGTTGCACCACAAACCTACAGGGGAAACAACAGGAACAGTGCAAACTGCCATAAGCCTGTTAAATCTCCTTTTGGGAGAACATGTTGCTGTACTTCCCCTGGTTAAATGACATTTCTCATCAACAAGGGATGTGATGTGGTGTGGCTAACATGCAGAGATGCACTTGGAATGTGAAAAGCATTGTATGGGTTGCAAGTTCCTGTGCTTTCCTCATCAGTTAAAAATCTGAAGTCTTCCAATCTGTGGGAAGACAGTTTTTCTTTTAGATTGTTAAATGGAATCTGGAATCTCAGCAAGAATTTTAAGGTTTGGTTTGGGGTTTTTTTTTCTTTCTTGCATTTCTGCATTGTAAATTCAGTGTGAATATTAACTGAATGTTGCAAGAAATCCCACCATGTTGGTCATGATGGCTAACATCTATTTAGAAGGATATCTGGAAGTACCCAGGTGGCTGACATTTTGGTCAGCAGATACCAAAACCAGAGAAATGCTGTATAAACGTGAAGGCAAGAAAGGATGTGTTCATTTTGTTGCTGTTCTTTCTAACTGGACTTTTCATAGTATAGTTAGGTTTTGGTTTGGAAGATGGTATTGGGAAGGATGGCAGATGGTAGATCTGATAGATGTTTCTGGCTTTCCTCAAGGCAAGGTGCCAGTTGGGCTCTGGCTCAAGCATCGTAGCAAATGATGTTTTCTCTTTTAAAGATGTTGGGAAAGCTCTATCCCTCCTCCTTGCTTTCTTTGCTGCAAAAGCACATTGCTGGCTCATGTTCAACTTGATGTCCACCAGGACCCCCAGGTCCTTTTCTGCCAAGCTGTTTTCAACTGGGTGTCTACTGACATATATTGGTTCCTGGGGTTGTTCTTTCCCAGGTGCAGGACTTGCACTTCCCCTTGTGGACTGTCATGAGGTTCTTGTCAGTCCATTTCTCCAACCTGTCAATGTCCCTCTAGATGGTAGCAAGACCTTCTGGTGTATCAGGCAATCC